TGCACAGGTGCTGTTTGGATGCACAGCTGTAGTCTCCAGCACCTTGCATGGCTTGGCTTGCAGTGGAATTCTGTGTCAGTGTTATTCCCACTGCGCAGATCGTTAAAGCAACTTTTTCACTTGCCCCACGAGATGTCGAGAATGGGAACAGATGCTCCTGAATCCATTTGCCTGTTGGACCTTGAAGTAAGCAAGCTCCCCAAGTTCTTAAATGCATGTAAATGCCAGTTTTTTGGTACCTAATACCTTCACAGAGTCACAGAATCACAAGGTTGGAAGCGACCTGCAAAATCATCTAGTCCAAAAACCTTCTGTTTGTTTATTTTTACCAAAACAGGTTTTTTTACTTGGGATGGTGTTCACTAGCAACTTAGAACTGCGAGAGAAGTTTAATACTCAGCGTGGCACACATCAACCTCCTTTCTTACCGTTGCTGCTGTGCAAACAGTACTGTACTGAGAAGGAAAGGTCCTGGTGGGATGCTGTGTGTACTCTCATGCAGAAAAAAACAATGTAAGAATTCTTCAGTTTGGAAAGTTTGGTTCCAATATTTCCCGAGGGCTTCCGAATTGATTGCCATGGGTTGTGTAAAACCAGTTCCTTTTGTTTGACATCCTTTGAACGTTAAAGGTTTTTTGCTGTAGGGGTGTGAGATGGTGAAGAACTTTCTAAAGACAGGCTTTACATTTCTGATATTGCATTTGTAAAGAAGAGCTAGCTTAGGGCTAAAGCTGCTTGTTGTGTTCATCAAACAAATGATGTGTGAACAGATGAAAAAGAGGGAATGCTAATTGAGGAATATTTCTTTTGATATTCAGACCAGACTCGGCAGCCAAACTGAAGCTTCTTGTACAGCATGGATTGAGTACTGTGCGAGCCCTGGAGAAACGCGGCCTTCAGCCTGCCTTAATTATACACTGGGCAAGAAGCCTGCAAAAAACCAGTAAGTTAAGATTATCTGTAAATAAGTACCATCTGTTTTTTTCTAATTTGCAAACTTAACAGACTAAATAAAATCAGATGAGAATGTAGTATTGAGAAGTGCTGCTAATTTTGATGGCATGACTGGAGCAACTACCTTGCCTAACAAGTACTCTCTACCTCACTACTCTCTTAACAGCACAGGTAAAAGCAACATTATTTTCTCCCCGTGTTACTTTCTGCGTCTATAGAGAGACCTTCTGAAATACGTCCCAAGTGTCAGAGAAAAATTCTTGAAACTTCTTAAGAAAACAACTGTATCAGAGAAGAGAAAGTATGAATAACATTTTATTTGAATTTTCTGTGACGGTTTGGATTTCTCTTCTTCAACAGGGCATTAGCCTCCTACGACCGGAAAGAATATGTTGAAAGAAGTGTCTACTACTGGAAGAAAACTTTGTTTAGCTTGAAAACTATCAAAAAGCGCAGAAGTATTCCTGAACCTGCTGATCCTCTCTTCAAGCATTTCCATACTGTGGACATCCAGGTACTGATGGATTATTCAAAGAGGAGAGTAAGAGGGGTTAGAGGAAAAGTAAGTAAGGGGGTAAGTAGTAAGGGGTAAGAGGAAAAAGATGGCATGGCTAAAGACTGAATCCTTTATTCATGTGAACAA